TCATTTGGAAATAGGTCTGAGAAAAAAGTGAGAATCGTCCATTTCTTCAGAGTTCATACTTTCAGTTGACTAATAAGGCGNATCTAAGAAGAGAGATTAGGCTGTTGGGAATCTCGTAAGAAAATATCTTCTGAATACAAACATGAGGATTCGATGAGGAGCGGGTGAACTCGTATCCGTCTGGATTCACACATGGTACAATGACGAATGTGATTTCTTCGAGTAGACTTTTAATGACTGGATCGCTGTCATAGCGGGAAGTGAGCTGAAATGTTGCCGTATAAGATAGCCTAGTCACCGCTCGATCTTTTCTGGGAATGCGCCATGTATTCGGATTACAATTGGTTCCATCGAAGTGTTCGAAAGCCTATTCTTATTCCGAAAAGAGTCCGTCTGGACAAAGCTCTGAGCCGTAATTTTGCTTCATGAAATGAGACCCATCCGGTTCGATTTTATCAATCGACCAATTTGTGAAGCGTTTTCGTCACGAAGCTAAGTTCATTGCAACTAGATGGCATCGATAGAAGCCATCTTCATCAGAAGTTTCTCAGCTTTCCGTTGAAGTTCGTCTAGCAATCACTCACTACAGAGGCCAATCGAATATTAGCATCCCTTTACTTTCAGTACTTTTCAGGTCTCTAGATTCCTACACCATGATTCAATGCTTTGAGAGGTCCTTCTCTTGGGCCATGGATGTCTCAAAGGAGAAAAAATTCAAGAGCATCTCACTCTTGAGAGTTTCCACCTGATTAAGAAGCAACTAATCAAAAAGTTGACTGGGTCCCTTAGGCTCTGCGAAATTTTTTTAGGCCTCTTCCCCCCATCCCTGAACTGAGCGATGCTTCGTGGTCAACTTCTGATCACGCGAACTCCGAGCGAGTGACGTTTCTCCAGTTAATATCCCTTTTTCTAGGGGGAATACCCGGCTAGGGTGTGACTGTTCGCTCAAAATAGGCCATAATGATTCAGCACGGGGTTATGCCTAATGTTTGCAGTGCAACTTGCATGAATGTGACTGTGATGTCATCAAGTTGTTACCTGATGTATGAAGTACAAAGCAGTATGTGGTGCAGCCCATTCACGTGCATGAATTCCTCCATCAATCCAAAAAATTCTTTTTGATCGATCATGACCGCCGATCTGAAAATGAACGTAATTTATACGCCATGAATGAATATTTTTGTAAGAAAAACTTAAAAGGATGGGCATGTGGAGGTGGGTGAGTGGTTAGCGGCGGGGTGGGAAAACTTTTATCGCTCTAAGGATCTATCCTCAGCCAGGCTAAAAAAAATATTCACTACTAAACGGTCGGCTGTCTATAAACAAACCTTTCGTTCTGATCTTCACCTTTATCATCTAGAAACTTTTCAAAAATTACATGAAGTCGTTGAATTTTTTTAATAAATGGAAGTGCTTCAAATCTACAGGAGACAGGTATCAAGGATGCGCCATGCTCCCAAAACCCATTCATTATTCTGGCGGTGATCGAATACTAAAATCTCTCATTCACTTTTCATCAGAACAGACCAGTACAGCATTAGAGGGGTGTCAGATGATAGCGTCAGGGATACGCCACGCGCTTGATTTCCTTCAATTGTAGGGAAGGACATTATCCTATGAAGTATATTCCCTACATGACTCGATCACGCTAGGCTGTCCTGGTATTCCTCGGCTCTCACAAAGCGGTCCTACATTTTAACAACTCTTTTCTGGTAGAATTCTTGAGTTTAATGTTGCTTTTATGCGTTTCAAGAGGTAGTCGTAACTGGCCAATGTTCGAAATTAGGGCAATGCCACAAAACCGGTAAACTTGAAAGGCTTTAAGGCGAATCAAGAAACTGTGGCTTGAATTGCGTCATGGTACGAGTTTTTATGAATTACGTCATAGTCCTTCAGAGAAAACCTCAAAAAAAGTTCTGAAGCACTGTGGCATTCAAGAAAAGCTGTTCAGACATCAATTACTCATAGAACTTCGATGCCTAGAGAGTTGTTTACATCGGTTGAGTATGATAACGAAATGAATTAAGATAAAATACAAAAAATAAATAAATAAGAAAACAGTGGCGAAAGTTTGATCTCTCCTTAAGCAGAATACCCCCAACTTTGATCTACTGATCGACGGCCACCCCGACTGACATCTTGGCACTCGTATCGATTGGTTGGAGCTTTCATCGACCTCTGGATTGCCTATTTTCTGCGCAAAGTGAGTTTTTTCATTACTCTTGACTTCTTGATCATTCCTCTACTATTTTTCATATTTGAAATATGTTGTTTCAGCTGTAGATGCTTCTTACAAGGTGAATTTGGGAAATTCCAAGTTTTGGCCGAATTTAAAGACGAAGGGGAGCGATGATGATGGTCAATAATCAGAACACAGCCTTCTCATGAAGCTGCATGAAAAACTCAGGTTTGAATTTGAAGGAATTTCACTTATTTGCTTATTTATTTATTTATTTACTTAATGCAGTCAGGAATAAACTACTGCAAAATCATTACTAATTTTATGAGTTTAAGCGCTGAATTACTAGTCATTTGGAAATAGGTCTGAGAAAAAAGTGAGAATCGTTCTTCAGAGTTCATACTTTCAGTTGACTAATAAGGGGTTCGGCAGGGTTGAACTCATGAAAATGAACAGGTCATATTCATAAAGTCATTCATTAATCCGAACTTGAGCTGGAAAAACTGGGGTTATGGGACTATGTACTCCTGAAGGGCATAGTCTAGAATATTTCATCGAAATCACGATGCACTGCTCTTCTTGAAATTTGAATTTTAATGTTTGGAAATTCAGGGTATCCCCCTTACTATCAAATTCATCCATTTATTAGATTATATTATTTATTATTTATTCCATTCTGGCCGATATTCCCAAAACACAAGTGTTTGTTATTTGGTCCCTATTCTTGCAAAGGGCCTGTTGCCAAAAAGGTTCAATCTACCTACTGGTACTTGTCGCTGCAGTACAGTTGACAGATGATGGATTAGAGTCGAAGGAAACTGAATTCTGAACTGGTTGTTGATCATAAAATAAACATTTGATGTTTACTCAACGAGACAGTTTGTCGAAAATTCAATTTCTAGATGTGGCCGAAAGAATTTCTGACTTTTGATCGCACATCGCGCTATCCAATCAAATTTGGATCAGGTGGCAAGTGACGAGGGAGGGATTCGGGTTAGGGGCATGGGGTGAGACTAGTGGAACGACGACGACGACATCGCACCTAGTGACTGGCTTTTTGTGACGTAATCGCTCGCCTTTCAGCGAAAAATCGAATTTGAATGTGATATCACAAAAAGTGGGTAAAGGTCCAACAAACAATAATCGATAAATCGATATACCTCAACACCATCTATTGATCGACCTTCATGTGAAGTACCGATCGTGATGAATTGTACGAGCTGTGGATTATTTCTTGCCAAAGCACGCATCCATGACGTCATTTGGGCATAGGAACCATACCGGTTGAAGTCGTAGAACGGAGTGGACGACTCGTCTTGTAGTCGTCGTGGACGTTTCCGTCGTTCCTTGATGTTGATCAATCTGAATTGATTCAGAAGAAGCTGTGACGACTACAATATTTATACTCATTATTTTATTCTTCGTTAGAAATTATTTTTTCGTACGAAATGGCGGAGTTTTTTTCTTACATCAGGGTTAGCCTTTGGAAGTGCCATTATTTGATAGGATTCCTGATAAGGTCTCTTATACCGACATTAAATGGCCTGCAATACTAGTTGATGTGTTGGGTGAATGCGCATCCAAACACTTCTGCGACATTTTATCGAAGTCATGTGCATGGCGTAACATGCTAAGATCATCGACGAATGGCCTATCTTTGGCTTACGGTTCAAGTTCTTTAACCTTAGTTCAAAAAGATGAAGGGGCAAAAAAAAGAGGATAAGGTATCTAGGCATTGGTTGATCTTTTCTGAAGGGTGCGCCTTCGCATTCGACTTCCATTCAGAATCGTAGTGATGGATTGAAGGCGTATATGACCGATACAGTAACTTGTGGTGGCTAGCCGATGTTCAAGTCGATGCTTCCCTCCGGATCTGATACCAGTTAACCGATCCCGGATGGAGGGAAGGCTTGGTTGGTCTAGGCGGATATCGATACGGGATGTCTAGTTGGGAGTGTGCGTGTGAGATAGTGCGTCATTTGCCACTGTACTATCTTCGCCGTCTAAGTTTCGAAAAAACGAAAGCTAGAGTTCATTGTATAGCTCTAAATTGACTCGTCAAATTAGCCATATGGACAGAGGAGCTAGTAACTAAATATCATAAAAATGAGTGAAAAATGCCAAAATAACAGTAGCTAGGATACCAACTTTTGCACGTCGTTGATGGTCTTGATATGCGCTATATCGTATTTTTTGAGGGGATCGAGTAAATTGTCCGAAAACTTCTTGTCGACCATAACATCCCAGAAGCCGTTCAGATTTTTGGCGGTTTTCCAGAAGTTCAGCTGAAATTTCGATTTTTTAGTCGATTAGCATCCTGATTGCTATTTTGGGAATAGTAATTGGAAAGAGAACGAAATCAAAATGAAAAAGAAAGTCGGTGAATGGGTTTATAAAATGATCGATAATGTCTGGAATTAGAATGTGAGAGCTGCAAAATGCATATAAACAATAAAATCAATCAATAGCAATAATATAGTGGGATATAATGGTCAGTATAATATTAACTTCAAACTAATTTATCGAACAATTAAATAGGTAGTCTTGGTTGCACGTTTCCCCAAAGGATTAGCGCAGTAGTAACAGATATTCCGTCACGATTGCCAGGTCAGGGATCAAATCTGCTCGAGTTGAATAAGCGCGGTATTCCCTTTTATGGTCTGTCGATTGACAGCAGAATCTATACGAAGGGTGGCTCGACTACGTATCTCAAGGCCTTCAGAAATCATTGTCAGGCCAAATACAAATATTCCTGCAAATCCTTTACTTATTTGTTTAGTTCTGTCATTATCAATACAATATCAAGCAAATTATTGCCCTAATATTATTGTTCTAGGAAGAGAAACTGCTCAGAAGTAGTAGGAGATAACCTCTGGGCGAGTGTGGGCCCATTTATTATCCACTCCCTGGTGGTGGTACTACCTGATTCCGTTTACGAGCGAAATTGCTCAGAGGTATGGGACAGCCCTAGAATTGTTGAGAAAATGCAGATAGCACAAGTTTCGTGATGCAAAAAGAGTGGCTATTTCGACTCTTACGTATGTCACGGTAATGTATCAAACACAACGGAGCGCATTTGATACATGGTGTCGTAAAAGTGGTCAGAAAAAAAAAACGATGAAGGGATCGTGAAGGGATGACCAGATCACAGAGACCCGCAATTGAGAGAACTGGGCTTATTCCAAAATCCCTCGGGCTTCGGACTTGAGTTGAATGGTGAAAGAGTCAAACAAGCCACCACTGTATCTCCAAAGGTCCAGTCACGTAGTCACGTGGGACAACAAAGTATAAAGGACAAGTCTGTCTGAAAGTCANCTTCATGAACTTTTTGTAGATATTGAAAAAGTAATAGATTTTCGGAATGAACTTGGACTTGACGATCCTGGGAACCAATCGTTTGCTTATCGTTTGCCTAGCTAGCAACCCCATTCGTTGATCTCATCATGAATTAGATAGCCGACACCTCATTTCTCTCACAAGGGAATCGGAAAACTAAAACCACACCAGTCCTGGGTTGAAGCAACCTTCTAAAGCTACTACATAAGCCGAGCACTTTTTCAAATGGGCCTATGATTTTGATGGTACCCCAGCACAAAGCGCTTCCAAGAGCGTTGATGTCTGTCATCCGTCTTATATGTTGGTGAACATCGCAAAGAGCTTAAATTAATAATTCACCACTGTGAGGTTTTGTAGTGGGAGTCTTTCTGACGTCTCTTCTCAAGCCATGCATTCTACATCCACTCGAAATGGAGCCAGCAAAAATTGCTCTTTGGCAAGTGCAATACCTTCCGTGTACATGGATCAATCCAATGGCCTTTCTGATAGTTAGGCCAGTTTTCCATTTGTTCCGTCTAGACTGATGGAACATTTGATAATAGGAACCCTGAAATGCCTCATCGGATTCAATTAGGCCAACCAAGCTTTTTCGTTGATCCCTGGGTCATGCTTATAACAGCAACGCCTAGAGTCACTAGTTTATCTACACCTGGTACATAAACTACTGAATCAAGTCAAATCCCACTCGCCTCGTGTTGTGCTTGTTACTGGTTGGCAGTCAAAAGTGATATATCGTCAGTCACGCTTACTCGAACCAATGATCCCGCGTGAATTGTCCCAAATCCAGTCAACAGGAGAATACGCCGGGCAACCTATCCACCGTTTGGCAATCACACATCGGTGACACTTTGAATAGAAGCGGCAACATGGAGCCGGACGGGAAGAGAGAAAGGCTGAAGTGTTCGGATGGATTCAATCCCTTAGTTGTCATAAATCTTTGGTCGGCGTCCAGCACAGTAAAGGCTTCTTGGGTACAGATTGTTCCACTTCAAATGGAAAATGCCAGATACATCGTCGTGATATACACTCTTGCAGATAGTTGGGTAGTTCGATATTCCTATGGTTCACGTTTTACAACAAAGCAAATGAATGTCCCGAATTACCGTTTTTATTCCTTGAAATAGTCACGGTAGGAGCTTGGACGGTTCGGATGAGGTTTGGAAACCTGGTGGGTATCGTCGTAAGTGGCGAACGACGATACTGCTCCTTGAGGAGCTCTGGCATCCTTGCCCGTTGAGCTGGATAGGGATTGAGCATCGCCCAAATTGACCGGAGTTTAATTGTTTCGTGAGTACAACGAAGAAAACCCTGGCTCAAGAGGAATGTCAGAGAAGTCTGTGTTATGCTAGGTTTCCCATGGTTTGCTTCTTAGAGGGTGAACCGGTTGAAATGCTGTGGTTGAGTTTTTTCCTTTGAAAACTTCAAGCATTGGAATGCATTTTACAACATTACGTAAGAAACCGCTTGAATCTTCTCAAATAGAGAGAACTTCCGTTTTTTTTCATTCCCTTCACTCTTTTCCTCTCATTTCCCATACCTGTCTTCCCATACTATACCAAGCCACTAGGCCTTCATGGAAATGAATGATGTAAAAAGATTCTTTTCAACCCTAACGATCCATCAATAAAAGGTAACAGAACTACAAACTCTTTCTAGTATCCATAGGCATTTTTCAGTCGTCATGCCTTCTTGTGATCAGCAAATATCGATTCTGTCAGTATAGGGTGGCTGAAAACTTACTGCACGCTGAAGAACGCTGCTCATTTTTTTTTTCAAGATAATGCCCTGCTTATGGGATTCTGCACTCTTAAATTAGAAAAATTATCGAATAGATATATTATTCCTTCAAAGTTGGCGTGCTATCAACAAATCGTCGGTCTCTGGCGGACTGGAACCCGAATTTGTGCTTTCCAGGCACCGTGCCCTTTATCCCTTGCACTACCGAGACCCCTTAGATTATATTTCTCGTCATGTGTATAAGTTTATATTTACTTAAAGGAACTGTTCGGAATGTTTTTCTAGACGGGTTTTCGGGGGGTTCTTCTGTTGCTCGAAAATGTTCAGCCAGGAAGCGGGAAGTCTGAGCTCATTTGTTATTCTATGTTATTTGATTATGTTTATATTTCTTCCGAATAAAAAAACTGAGGTAATAATTAAAATCAATAAATATAGAGAATAAATAAATGAAAATATTAATCAATCTATAGTGCTCGGGCGTTATTAANAATGTTCTTCTAGACGGGTTTGCGGGGGGTTCTTCTGTTGCTCGAAAATGTTCAGCCAGGAAGCGGGAAGTCTGAGCTCATTTGTTATTCTATGTTATTTGATTTATTTATATTTCTTCCGAATTAAAAAAACTGAGGTAATAAAAATTAAAATCAATAAATATAAAGAATAAATAAATGAAAATATTAATCAATCTATAGTGCTCGGGCGTTATTAATTGCTATCAGTTGGGGCTGATATCAGCAACGAACATCGTCACCTTGGTTTTCAACCACCCTATTTGCCTAATCAAAACGATCATTATCTAGACCACCCATGCAGTTGCTGAAGAATTTGTGCTACGGACAACATTGCCTAATGGGGCTCTCCTGAACTAGTTGAACAGGGTGTTTTCACGAATAATTGTCACTTTTTAATGATATTTTCCCTGACGTAATAGTCAAATGTCACTTCAAGATCAGCTGATCGGCCTAGGATGACATAGCCAACTTCCAAATAAACCGGTTTGAACGTCCATATGTGCTATACGTTATTCAAAGGGTCAACAGTTCGATTTTGGTTGTAAAAAAAACAGTTGGTTTGCTATTTGTTCAGTTCCTTCTGGTCCAGCCTGAACTCCATACCTTTCCTCGAAATGTGAAGGGAAAACCCTGAAGCAGACTCTGATTCCCGAATTCCGTCCCTGATTTCCTATATTTTTCGTCGATTGGTCCAATCAGGGAACAGCCCTCAAAGTCATAGGTGGTGGCCTGGGATTCACAATTTTCAACCGACACCCGAAAATGTCAGTCTTTTTTTTCTTTTTTAGTGGCTGAGAATAGCAAGTGAGACCGTTCAGCCAATAAACCTAAGTTCTAGTTAGCATATATGTGAAATTATACAAGACCAGTTGCTATAAACGGAGCAATTCAGTGGCTTCTTAAGAGAATGATTCTTTTTTGGAATATAACTGCAAAGTCATTTTCGAAACACCTTTGCTAAACTAGTTGAGAATAATAGTGCAGGTATAATGAGGGTGGCCTATAAGATCGTTTAGATCGTAGGATAATTATGGGAGGGGGGGGGGGGGGGGGGGGGNCAGTAATAAGGGACTGAGGGCGTTGTAGTGGCTAAGAGCTAACGGAAGTGAGGGCGATGTGGAAGTGGTGGCTAAGAGCTACTGGAGATGTCAGATGTATGGCGTATACTGATGGATCTTATTTTTAGAGGTCTCAGCAACTTCTGTTACCTTCTGCTACATCCCATACAACACCAAAGAATGGAAAAGAAAGGAAAATAACTTTTCAAATAAATTCACAGAAAAATTGAGGTGGACAAAATAATGGCTGTCAGGCTATGCACACAAATCAATAATCTAGGCAATATAAAATAGCAAAATGTTTGATAAACAAATTTTAATGTAACTTTTCATATTTATTAGTTATTTATTTATATCTTGTATAAGCTTAGTGAATTTCTGTCTGAGGCCATATCCAACTTTCATTAGTATTTCAGAGACATCACTTTAAATATCACTTTAAATTTCAATACCTCTTTAATGCCTCCCTCAATTCAGGTCGCAGGTTTCTTTCACGAACATTCACTTCCTACTCCAACGATTAGCTGGCTGTAGGTGGAGAGGGGGGTTTGAGAAACGAGCTCAATACAGTTTTACTAAAGGAAAATACTCAGAATTATTTGAGAAAACTTTTGCACCAACAGGTCCAACACATTTCTACCACTTCTTCTTTCTTTCTAACACTGTTAACCTCTTTTTGGTAGTGTCAACAATCCAGTAAATATGAATGTTTGCAAAGAAATTCTGCACTCCTCATGCCAGTGGAAAGAATTCCGTGCCACAAATCCATCATTCACCTCCCATTGAACATATTTCTCTGCTCAATACATCAGCGAAAGGACTTGATTAGTCATCCATCATTTATCAAATGTACTGCAGTAGTATGCAATTAGGGAGCTAGCAGTACGGGAAAGGCCACTCCCTTGCTCAAAAAAATGTCATAAGACACCAGAAGTACTCTCCTAGTCACCTTCAGTACCTCCCTCCGGTCCACTGATTTTTTTAAATGATGTGATTGATTGTTTACATATTTGACTTATGAATCAGAACTAATTAATACATTCCTAGAATTCAATACCGTTCAATCATCTAGAAATGTACATTCTCCAGCGAACTGGTTACTTTGGTATTCCCGTTACTTGTATAAAAAATTGGTTGGAGTGGTCGGTTCTACTCAGATTCATTGTATTGCGCCATGCACGTGGTATCTATTTCAGAGCATGTTTTTGATTAGTTAGGACGAGTTTCGATCCTGCGACTGTACAAATGCTATGAAGCGCCTGGATTCACTGTACTACTCCATTTCAATAGAAAAATCGGAAGTTGTAGAAATAAAATTGTCAGTTATTGGGATTTCTCAAGGCCAGTTCGATTAAGTAAGAAGAGCTTCTATCGTCTATACTTGTACCTTCACCCAACAGAGTATTACTGTCTTGTTCCTTGTGAATTCCATCCTCGTCTTTCAAGGTCTGGAGCGAAAAATGACCACATGGCGCAATCCTGAGGGCTGTGAATATCGCTGTGGCTTCCTTTTGCCCAAGCCAGACGAAAACTGTAACTGATCGGACTGGGAAACACGTCTATGGGCGATACCGTGTCGACGACGCCATAATCACTCAACCACAGATTCATCACGATCTAATCACATTCCCTGTTGCATAAACACACCGTTTCCATAACCGGTGAAATCTGGTGAAACTCGTCCAGGAGAATGTTGGACAGGGCCAAGGTGAACAAGAATGTGAGCGAAAGAAACATTGAAAAAGAATGTTACACTCATTAATATGTTGCATTAGGAAAGGGTTGGGGACAGCGGTAGGGATCATCTGTTCAGACGGATATTACAATGTCTTGCTCAGGGCGCATCGAGGTTCTAAACATCCCAGACAGTGTGACAATGTTTCTGGAGCGATAGAGGACCTGAATGCCTAGGTTGTAATTTGAAACATCAGACCCTACAAGCCATATGCCATTGTACTTTCCCATCGGCGGTTGGGTAGAGAAGCAAATGAAAACGTTCTCTCGGGAATGCTTCCAATTCTTCTTAACAATTAGCTTTCCAACACCGGAAGACCTGTAAGGAAGAGCCATGTATTCGGCTTGCATCCGGGATCTTCAGAGCGTTTGAATTGGTATTGAGCTAAGCTATTAAGCTCACCATCCAACCACGGAACAGGGTTTCCATTAAAAAATTCTGAACTGGGATGCTGAAGCAATTGATTCCAGGAGCTTTTTCGCTACTAGAGCCTACCGAGGTCCGATCTTGTGCACCATACAAATTAATTACGGCGCCTCTAACAATTACGCTATGCCTATGCTTTGATAGCTGTCATTCGAAATTCGTTCGGGGGATATTCGGAATTGCTGCATCTTTTTAGAGTGTATCTGTGTGCGTGTTCGTTCCATACGACCGCAATAGAAAGTCGTCTGATACGGCTTTTCTGAGAAACGGGTTTTAGCTAAGAGAGGGTAGTGGGGGGTAGGGGAGATGAGAAATTGGATAGCAATACAAATTATGGCAACTAAATTTTGTTCTAAAGAGAAATTCGGACGAAACCAGGCTGTGACGAAACACAAAAATGCAAATGATAGGGAAAGCGACCATTAGAGACGTTATATTTTTTGGTTAATTTATATTCTAGCAATCGTTCAACGACAATTCAATTGGTTGTTCCGAAATCATTCGAAATTCTTAAAATCATTTCCTTTCCGAAGTTCAGGATGAAAACTTTTGCCTTTCAAATCTTTTCCCTAGATGTTTCCAGGAAATCCTGATGGGAGCGATTTGATGAATCTACTAGTTGACCTTGCATATCAGCCTAAGTCAATCAGCTGAAGGTCAAATTTATGAGTAAAAAATCGACTCGAATTGACCTTTTGAACAAAACTGGTTCAAACGATTTCCTTCAAATCTCATGTGCAGTCCAAAAGATATCATAGAATCAAAAATCAGCGATGTTAATTCAGGCAGAGCTTATGGGATGGTACAATGGCTGGCAAAAGTCTCATGCCAACAGAGTACATTCCTCGGGATCAAATCCTTATCAGATCATATCAGCCTAAGTCAATCAGCTGAAGGTCAAATTTATAAGTAAAAAATCGCCTCGAATTGACCTTTTGAACAAAACTGGTTCAAACGGTTTCCTTCAAATCTCATGTTCAGTCCAAAAGATATCATAGAATCAAAAATCAGCGATACCGATTCAGGCGGAGCTTATGGGATGGTACAATGGCTGGCAAAAGTCTCATGCCAACAGAGTACATTCCTCGGGATCAAATCCTTATCAGATCAAACTTAATTCTTGGTTAAAAAATCGAGCTTTATTATGTCCGCACTTTCGGGAGAGTTATAATGGTTTAGGCTTGAGAAGCACGCCTTTCAATCTGGCCATGGGTACTCCGATACTCTGATTGATTTGGACACCCACTAAGAAAAGGGGATTCTCATTTTGTGGGGGCAATAGATTCTTCCCCAAACATTTTTTCTGGGCCTTTACTAAATTGCGGTGCTACATCACTTCTTCTCAGAGGCTTGGCCGCGGCTGACATGATGTTATGGGAGACTATGATAATGGGGATTTTCCGCCGCTTTTTGATGGCATTAAGGTAAAACAGTAAATAAAGCGTGGTCATTCAATTTGAAAGGTTAAGGGAGATATAGGATTGTAGGTTGAACGACGTGTAAATTGTTCGGGAGCTTTGAAGAAGGAGAAACTGAGTTCAAGTCACAGCCTAGAGAACCACGAACCGGTGTTCAAGGAACCGTGGAAATTCCCGTGGAATAAAGGTTGCACAAGTCGGCTCCCTTGACTTTGACAGCGAACAATACAAGAATTGTTGAGATTAGGGAACCTTTGAGAGTGAAATTGTTAAAAGATATCAGGACAAGCGGTCATCCACGTGCATACGCGATTCCAAATGGAAGACGTATGCATAGCGTATCGTCAAAGAGGTGGTCAGAACTCTTTGTTTCAATTTCCTCGTACTACCAAATAGATGCGAAAGACCATCCTCTCTTAACAAACGAACATTTAGTCATTTCTGTCGTATTTGCTCTTTGCATGGGCTGAACGGTCACATTGGCGTTCGCCATGCCTTTCAATTCCTATTTGGAATCCCTTCAATTGTAAGATTACTATAGCCCTTGAAACACCAGATTTTCCATCTGATAGTCAGAAGAAGTTCGCTGTTCAATCACATTCAGCTTATTTCTGAAGTTACTCTTTTCTTCATTATTTATTTCCTTTTTTTTTTTGGCGATTTAATGCTTTGCCACTTGATAAACTCACCCTGAAATGTCTGTTTCGTCAGGGTTTACGTCAGACCAAAGTTCTATAGCTAAGGGTTGATCAAGGTTTGTTCAGTCCATCAGTTTTGGCAAATGGAACGAGTTCATAGTAAAAACCGTTTTTGAAACTATCAAAAAGTGTTCGGTTCTGGTTCTTCTTATTGTAATAAAGCGAATAGATGGCAGTAAAAAGCCGTACGCTAAGTGTTGGGGTCAATGACGACGAAATGTCGAAGAACATTGCTGTAAGAGTTGAATGGAAACTAGAGAGGAGATATTTCCGTCGGAAAGGGGTTAACTGAATTCGACCAAATAAATGTTTGAGAAAAAGTGGGAAGGAAGAAGGAAGTGGGCTAATACCCCAATGAAACGCTTGTGCGCTATGTTCTTGTGCTACGGAACTAATTCATCGGTCTATTAGCGTTCAAATCGCCACAGATTTTCTCGAAAGGTCGACCAAGCCGAAATTTCTTCCTTCCCTAGTGTTGAGGGATGGTTTAGATCATAGGGAAACCCCTGAGTGGTTTGGGACATACCTACGAAAGGCATTGGAAGCAACCGTCATAGCTCGTGAAGGAACCGTCTATTTCTAGCAAGAGTAAAAGGGATTTCTCCAGCCAAAAAGCCTCCACTTTTGAATTATGATGTACATAAGGTGATACATCATTTCTCAATGGGTCATTCCCTCTTTTTCTCGATCTCGATCACACCTACGTGATATCCTTCCTTTGTGTGAAACCAGAAAAGTGAGAATCGACCAGAATTGAAAATATGAGAGAAAGAGTATGAAAAACTCTTGGGAGATGATTTACCCGATGGTTTCAAAAAATCAAATTTGAAAGGATTAAGTTTAGAAAAACATTTCTCCTTCGATAACAGAACATGCTTCAAAAAAGGAGCCAAAATAACGAATGGAATGGTAATGGTCAGAAAATGAAAGAAACAAAAGAAGCTCTCACCTGTAGATCCGTAGAATTGTCAAAAAGCCGTCGAATGACGTCGAATTGAGTGTGATTTCTTGGAAGAAGCCGATAGACGCTGACGACGTCCCCATCACCATTGGCGGACGTCGTCGTCGTCCTGGGCAAGAATTCATCATGATGGACATCGTCGTCTGCCAGAATCGTGCCGAACACGACGGCGGCGACGACAACGACGACGACGACCACATCGCGAGTGCGACGCATGGCGACTGGCGCGGCGATCTGCGCCTCTGACGCCACCGCGCTATTTCACGACGATCCAGTTTCGGGGCCGCGGACCAGGTTTTCCTCATACGGGGGCCCCGCCTCCATCACTATCATCTCCAGTTGCTTCGTCGTTCTCCCGACACCGTTCACCCACGGTATCCATTCAGGCATATAAGTGTGAAAGATTTATTCGACCCGGCTATTCGAAATTCGATACAATCGAGCAAAAAACATACGAAAAAAAATTGAGGGAGAGAGGGAGAGACAATGGGGCACAGGCACATAAAGTATTAAAACATGGGAAAGGGCACTTAATCATCTGAAAAGACACAAGCGCGATCAGAAGGCAGATGGGGCACATTCATATAAAAGCTATTCATATAGTTAAGTATGTGAGAAAAAAAACACTAAAACTTTATAAAAATTTACGCCTAAAATGGTGCAGAATTATTAAAAATTCCCACTTAAAAATCGCTAAACAAACTTACGAATAAGGCATTATTACAATATAATCGATACTGTACCTATTTCTAGGAAATACTGTACATATAATGATTTAACGAGCAAGCTAATAGGAGCGAATCAGAGCCGTCTATAGGGTGCTTGTTTCAGGCAGACACGCCCCTCGTAGAAAGCCACGCCTATTTCGGCTCTGCTCAATAGTCGTCGATGATTATCGTTCACCAAGAGGAGTGGTACGCCGAGAAATGCCAGGACGACGACTTCTTCTGAAAAATTCTTCTTGTTCGACGATGTTATGTGGAAACACAGATGACCCAACAGCGGTTAGTTGTATTTCTTCTGTTATGGTGCATCTCATGCATTTTTTACTTGAAGAAAGAAAGAGTTGATCCGATTGTAGAACTGTTCCAACGTTTCAGCGAAAATTATTTTTTTTTTTTGCAAAAGGACGCTAAAGGTTTAAATATGAAGCCAGTGTCCTGATTACCCCAGGATTTCTCGAACCTGATAGCCTAGGTGACAAAAATTTCCAAAAGAAAAGTTAAAGAAGGATCAAACGGTACCGGTAAGATTACCATTGTCGTAAACGATAATGGCTCGGTCAATTAGGAGAACAGGTTCAAATGCGGCAGTTAGAATTTTTCCATCTCCTAATCATTCCCTCTTTTCTGCCGCTGTAGTAGGGCTGGAAGGCGGGATATGAAACTTTTGAGTAACAGGTCCTCCATTCCAAAAAGATTATGACCGTATTTTTGGCTATGTATATAGGAAATTAGTCTGAGAAAAGTACTACCGATTTGACTGACCTTTTCCTTCAAAGCCAGAAGAATCATCAAGGGGGGAATGGCTCGTGAAGTACGGCACAGCACTAACATTGTTTGTTCAAGTTTGGTGACATACCGGTAATCATGAGACCTAGCTTTATCTTGGTCAGCAGTTTTTCAGTCCGGGGGTACGCGACCGGGTGATAGATTCAGAATCTCGAGGAACATTGTTTGGACGTTGGAATGCTGAAGTGAAAGATCCAATCTTCTGTCATATTAAGAGCTCCCGTTCTCTCTTCTTTTTTCTCACCGAATCCTTATGCCAAAAGTTCGTGGAATTGATCTACGAGGTCCAAATGGTGCAAGAACTAAACGAGCAACCAGAATTCCTACCGCTCCCTTCTCAACAAAAATCTCTTGTCCTACTCAATGTGAGCATATGATACGTCATGGTATCCAGTGGGTGCTTTCTCAAACAAACGTACGTTGTGGGGATCCTTCTTCGAAGGAACCGTTTGATTTGCTTTGATCAATTGACAAAGTATTCTCTCGATTTTATGCGAAGTACGCAAGTTGTAGAAGCAACAGTTTGAAGGGCCTTCGAGGTATCACATGCTCACGATATCGAATCGGGTAATCTAAGCTTACTTAGCATAATAATTGCTTAGAAGCAGAAGAACGACGCCCAGACCAGGCTGTCACAAAGCGTTGACCATAGAAACCTTGTTTTCAGCGGGTAGAGCCATTCATCCGCCCAAAGTTATCGATCATGTAGCCTTTACCGTCTTTAATGAAAACTAAAAGCCCTTCGAATTCTGCCTCCAGAACTATGCCTCCACTAACTCTAAACATTTCAATGTCGTAGAGTAATGAGTTGCGGAAAGTGTTTAGCAACTTTTTCGGTTCCGAGCAAATGTGGAGCGCATCCCTCCTCCTACAGCGGAACCATTTCGTGGTACCCGAACTTACATGGACACGAACACGGATAAGTGGCGCATCTTCAAGAAATTGACCAATTGCTCTCACTTTTAGTATGAAAGTGTGTATA